CTTTATTCAGGTTTTATCAAGTTTAGAGTGCCAGTAAATTGTATGTGTCGAGCGATGACACTGTAAACAGAAGCACAAACACACACGCACACACGTACCCATTTACATTGGTCTGGGAAACAGACCAATGTAAATGAGCTGCAGTGGAAGCACATCAACTGTTAATCTGCTGTGATGTTCTGAACAAACTGATGCTGTCTCCTGGGAAAGGTCCTACCTGCTGAGCCACGGCAGCTCCGATTAGTGTTCCCATTAGGTGAAGATGCAAATCTTTAAAAACACCTCACAAATATACAGTTTTGTGTTCAATCATTTCCTCAAACAGAAGGTGAACTTAATGGGGACTATTTTCAGCGGCGGATTGATCCACAGGTGCTCTAGTGAGTATCTGGTGCAGCAGGATGGTGTATGTGGAACTGAGTAGAAATAAACTACACTGTGTGTCTTACCGTTGCTGTCCTTGATGTCCACAGTGGCCTGAGCCTCCAGCAGTGCACAGAGCAGCTCTGTGGTCCCAGAGAGAGCAGCGTGGTGCAGGGCCGAAAACCTGAGGTCACAGCAGAGCCAGAGACAGAAAGATGGCTGATTAAGAAACATGGCTCTGACAGAGAATGACACTTACACACCAACCACAGTAAACAAAGTTTGTCAAATGTGTTTTAAATCCCTGCTGTTGACTGACTTCTCCAGAGTAACCCACCGCCAACTGGATCCAGTCCCCTTCTGTAGTACTACAGTATAATGCACCACATCAATTCAAACCACACACTTTATCTGCTGAGGATTTAATTAAAAACCCTCAGATGAGAATATACACATAATAAATGCAAAAAGGCCCCTTCAGTTTCCGAGTGGAAAACTACAAGTCTGCTGTTCAACAAGAGACACAGAGAGACTTAAACTGACGTCACAGAGATGATAATAGAGTTTGGAAATAGAACCCAGAGATACACCTCTTCTCCTTTGTCTCTGAATCTTCGATCCATTATACTGACTAGCGTAATGCAAACTAATCTTAAACTAACATCTTATGGATCTCACAGAGTTTTATTGGACAGACACCTTTACTGTCCCATGGACACTAAAGGTTTGGTATTGGTCAAACAAGTCCAATCTACATTAAATAATTTTCTGTTTAGCAGAAAACTACAGTCAGCAACTGCTGCAGACACTTAGCAATAAAAGATTTTTAATGTGAAGGCAAAACTTTGCTGTTAAACCAGAAATGTTAGCTTCATTTAAGGCAATGATTTGTCATTGTTTTTCATTTTTCATTCATTAATACTGACGAGCGTTCAAACTCCGGCAGGGGCGGCACCAGGGGGTGGCCAATCAGATCCTGGGGCTGGCCAGTGCCACCCCTGGCTGGCACCTTGGCTCTGACCCTGCCCAAAACTGCAGTAATCCTACAGAAAAACCGAGTTTATTACCTGTGTTGAACAAGTTAAACATTATGGTTTGTCTGGTTTCAGAACCACTATACACTAAATAAATACCATAAATAAAACAGCAACAACAAAAAACCTTTAAAAAGCCTGGCACATATAAACATCTCTATGGGGGTGTTACGGGATCAGTTTATCTCAGAGGTGAACCAGTGAAGATACAAGTCAAAACTGAATCTTCATTCATACAATGAAAACCACAGACTGTGACAGAGCTCATAGTCAGACAACGTTTTCAAATTCCTTTTAAATGAGCACATGACCCAGGAGTAGTTTTCCATAAAGAGCGTGACTGATGTGGTGATGTGTTGCGGTATACCTGTATCTGCAGGTCGACATATGACTCACACAGTAACACAACAATCTGACTCTCCCGTTTGTTAGTTCATACAGTGACAAGCCCAGACACACCAGAGAGCATCAGTAATTCAACCTTTTATTTCTTTCCTTATATGTGAGGATCTTATTTTTACATCATGAAGCCCTGAAAAGTATTCAGACATATGCAAATACAGCATATTCACGCTGTGACAGGTCACAAAGCTGCAGTTTCTTTGGGATAGGAAAGATAAAATGTTGGGAACCGCTTTTACAATACATGAAAAACAAATCCAGCAAATCGTCTTTAACAGAACTGAATTTGTTTTATGTCATAGCAAAGTGAAAATCTTTGGGGTTTGGACAGAACAAGACATCTGAACATGTTGCCCCAAAGCCAATACATTTAGGAACTCTTTTATAGAAGGTTTATTATAATTAGTGTGCCTACTTTGTAACAAACATAACATGCACCACAGTTTTCACATCCAGCCACCCTCCCCCACATATGAAGAACAGACAGTGGAGGAAACAAAGCTACAGGCTACATGTGGTTGTCTGTAAACAAACCAGGCAGAGAGATGTGAGGAGGTCTGCACATGAGAAAAGAAAGAAAGAAATGAATAAAGACAGAGAGGGGAGGAGGGCTGTTTTTAGTGCTGCTCTTCCTTCCTTTTGTCCTATTGTGTAATGTGAGCGATGGCATTCATATGGGCACGGTAACAGACAGCGCCGAGGGCTACTCCAACACTAATGGATGGATTACTGAGAGAGGTAACAGAGAGTAGGGGAGAGTGACAGGGGAGCAAAAAGAAGGAATCCTTCAGCCACCATAAAGACTCTCCAGACAACAGCGGCTTGACCCTGCTCACAGCCAAATAGTTTGAACATTTTCAATATGAGTGCTGGTTTCAGAGCTGGTACCAAAGCAATGCTTGTTATAAATTTCAGTAATATGTACACTAAACCTGTTTTAACCATCTTTTTATTTGAATTTTCTGAAAACACTGAGGTTTGGATTAGCACCAGCAGCTCACTATGCAGCGTAACAACTTGCCAACTCTGCATCCTTCCTTACATGGATTTGTAAGCGGGCCTACCAGGCACAAGCCCAAGGGCCAAAGGGGTCAAGGAGCTTCTGGGCCAAAGCCTCAGTATGAAGTGGCATTCACTATTGGAAAGTCAGTCAACTACTTACAAAAACATGCAGAATAAATGCATAAAGACACAAAATGAGTAAAAATAGGGTCAAAACAACTACAAAGAGCACTATAAGTACAAATAGACACAAAATGTGCATGACTTGATACAAGATTAATAAGAATATATGTAAAATGAGCAAAAATATGCTAAACTAGTACAGAGTTGGAAAACATCTATAAAGAGATACAAAATGACTTGACTCTTTCAGTCTGGGGGTCTTTAAAGAGTTGTTTCTGTTTCACGTGTGCAAAAAAAAGAAACTTTTTTTAAATGGAGCTGTATAAAGTGTTAGGGTCCTGCTGCTTTAGGCCCATGACACACCAAACAGACCACATGCCTTCAGCCACCATCGGGCTGTCGGTGAGCATCTGTCGCCCTTGTCTTTCCGGTGTGTCCTGCACTGTTGGCACTAGTCCGACCCTGTCGGCTACTTTTTGGCCAGTTTCTTATGTCGAATCAGCAGTGGACCTCGTTGGTGAGAGAGACCGCTCTTATTGGCCGTTCAGCTTAGCGAATCAATGCAGGAGAAGTAAATGAACCTGGGAGAACCCGTTCAGCCTGCCACTGTAGGATCCATGATTTTTCACATTCACTGCAGTTTCTCCTTGTTTTTCACCTCCATGACCCCATTTCTTCTTCAACAGACAAAAAAGAGCAGAAAATTCAAATGCCATTTGCAAATTCTTATCAGACATATTCTCAATTAGAAGCAGCTACAAAAGCACCTATGGTGAAAGAGAGCTGCTTTGCTTACCAATTGTATACGTGCAGTCTAGCTCTTCTTCTTTCCCTTTCTGAATGGTGAATACAGACACTGCCACCTTCTGGTAGGGAGAGTATTTTCTTTCATGCAGGTGCAGAGCATATGTGCTAGTCGGCCGTTGGCTGTAGTCTGTGGGGTGTGTTCAAGTGCCACTTTTCTGACCGCCTGGCCCAGACAAATGCGACGAGAGGCGACGCAACAGTCGGCCTGTGTCGCTGCTAGTTCTTATATGCCATCTTGGTGCGTCTCTGCCCTTATACACAGATCTCAGCTATCAACTTAGTGAGTGCAATCACTGAATTGAATTGAAAGCCTTTATTGTCATTGTACTGTGCAAAAATACAATGAAATTTAATGCTGCTCCATGATGCATTCAAATCCAGCAACACACCCAATACTCACATTCACACATTCTTCTACTCACTGGGCTCAAGCATGAATGACCAGATCAGTGAATAAGTAGATAAATAAATAGACTTTAAAAATAAGGTGCCTCTAGAGACCGCTCTCATAAATACTGCACAGAATTGAACTGACATAGTACATAAAATCTAAGTCATAATGCTTATTATTTGGTATATTTGTGGTTTAAAGTACAAATTGTCCAAGGAAAGAAACTGTTTTTAAGTCTGTTCTTGTTTTAAGAGACCTGTAGCATCTGCCAGGGGACCACAGGTCAAACGGGTCACGTCCAGGGTGTGAAGTGTCTTTAGTGACGTTTACTGCTCTGTAAAGGTAGTGAGTTTTGACAATGTCTTCTAGGGAAGGGAGAGGACAGCCTACATTTTTTGTGTAGTTTCAATGATATGCTGTAGAGTCTTTTTGTCTGCAGCTGAGCAGCCTGCAGATCCACAACTAATGTTATTATAACAGGGGAGATAACTTCCAAATTTATAGCAGGAATTTTTTTTTGTCTGTTTTAAGGCTGCAGGCCACCATGCAGGGTGGGTTGGGATCAGGATATTAACTGGATGCTGAAAGACTGGGCAGAGATACAACCCCTCGTCCGTCCTGCTCACCTGACAAGCATCAAACATGTTGAAAGTTCTGGCTCTTCCCTGTGCCTCCCTTTTCAATCTCTTCCCCTCCCCCTTCTGGGAGAACGAGGCCCTCTGTGACCTCACCTCTCATCACTACCACCACTTGTCGTGGAAGAGGAGAGAGAAGGGACCGACAGACAAAGAGAGAGCACCTTGACCATTTCCACAGAGACCCCCCTCCTCTTCTTGAGCTGGTGTCATCCCTACAGACTGGAATGAACTTTGGTGGTATCAAATACAATGAGAATGAGCCCACGCCAACACGCAAACAGACTGATGTTCACACACAGAAGGAGAGTTACAGATGACATTCCTACTGATAGTGTCACATTCCTGCAGAGACCTGAGCAATCACAGAGCTCTTAGTCTTTCTCTAGCTGGAGGAGTCAACTGATGGAAGGTTTCTGATGACCAACAGCAATATATGATGCATTTGACCACTGCCAGCCCCACAAAATTCTCCAGAGCTCCTTGATTCATCTTTTGTTCTTTTTTGTGTGTGCTGTATGCTGGAGATCTCTCCAAAGGTTTTGATACTGTCATCTCAATATTTTGTCCAGTGAGCTCTCCATTGGTTTTCTTGATTCTATAGCTGGCTCCTTTTGAGAGAAGTCCAAACTGAGCCATTGCTGCCAATAGTTTAAAATTTATCTTTATCATCTTCAACGGATGTGCGATAAAGGTGTCCCACAAGAATCAATTTTAGGCCCGCAACTGTTTTCAAAGTACATAGAACTGTAATGTCCAAGGGACAAGTCTTTATTGTCAACAAATCTAA